GAAAGTAATGCCTCTGCTTTTTAATATGCTGTCTAGGTTGGTCATAGCTTTTCTTCCAAGGAGCAAGTGTCTTTTAATTTCATGGCTGCAGTCACCATCTGCAGTGATTTTGGAACCCCCCAAAGTAAAATATGTCACTGTTTCTATTGCTTCCCCATCTATTTGACATGAAGTAATGGGACCAAATGCCTTGATCTTAGTTTTCTGATGTTGAGTTTTAAGCCAACTTTTTCACTGACCACTTTCACTTTCATCAAGAGGCTCTTTAGTTCTTCACTTTCTGCCATAAGGGTAGTGTCATCTGCATATCTGAGGTTATTAATATTTCTCCCAGGAATCTTGATTCCAGCTTGTGCTTCATCCAGCCCAACGTTTCGCATGATGTACTCTGCATAGAAGTTAAATAAGCAGGGTGACAATATACAGCCCTGATGTACTCCTTTCCCAGTTTGGAACCAGTCTGTTGTTCCATGTCCAGTTCTAACTGTTGCTTCTTGACCTGCATACAGATTTCTCCAGAGGCATATAAGGTGGTCTGGTATTCCCATCTGTTTAAGAGTTTTCCACAGTTTGTTGTGTACCTGTGGAGGTACGGGTCAGCAGTGGACTGCCACAGGGGCAGAGCCTCTGGTTGCAGCAGACCTGGGTATGGCATAAGCCTTCTTGGAGGAGGTCGCCACTAACCTGACCATAGAGCTGCCAGAACTTACACAGGACTGGGGAAACAGACTCCTGGAGGGTACCAAAAAAATGTGAAATTACTCTGTTGCTAAATATTCATCTCAGTTTTTAAACTTAGCTAACCTCAATACCCCAGCTGATCAGTAACAAATAGTTTTGTAACTAGCACAGGTCTGCAAACTACACTTTGCATTCACAGACCAGAGTATTGTGGTGTCAAAGCAGAGCTGGAGGTTCGTTGCATTGTACAGGAGACAGGAATCAAGACCATCCCCAGGAAAAAGAAAAGCAAAAAAGAAAAATGGCTGTCTGAGGAGACCTGACAAATAGCTGTGAAAAGAAGAGAAGTGAAAAACAAAGGAGAAAAGGAAAGATATACCCATTTGAATGCCGAGATCCAAAGAATAGAAAGGAGAAGTAAGAAAGCCTTCCTCAGCTATCAATCCAAAGAAATAGAGGAACACAACAGAATGGGAAAGATTAGAGATCTCTTCAAGAAAATTAGAGATACGAAGGGAATATTTCATGCAAAGACGGGCACAATAAAGGATAGAAATGGTATAGATTTAACAGAAGCAGAAGATATTAAGAAGAGGTGGCAAGAATACACAGAAGAACTGTACAAAAAAGATCTTCATGACCCAGATAATCACGATGGTGTGATCACTCACACTCACCTAGAGCCAGACATCCTGGAATGTGAAGTCAAGTGGGCCTTAGGAAGCATGACTGCGAATAAAGCCAGTGGAGGTGATGGAATTCCAATTGAGCTATTTCAAATCCTAAAGATGATGCTGTGAAAGTGCTGCACTCAATATACCAGCAAATTTGGAAAACTCAGCAGTGGCCACAGGACTGGAAAAGGTCAGTTTTCATTCTAATCCCAAAGAAATGCAATGCCAAAGAATGCTCAAACTACTGCACAATTGCACTCATCTCACACCCTAGTAAAGTAATGCTAAAAATTCTCCAAGCCAGGCTTCAGCAATACATGAACTGTGAACTTCCAGATGTTCAAGCTGGTTTTAGAAAAGGCAGAGGAACTAGAGATCAAATCGCCAACATCCGCTGGATCATCAAAAAAGCAAGAGAGTTTCAGATAAACATCTACTTCTGCTTTATTGACTATGTCAAAGCCTTTGACTGTGTGGATCACAATAAATTGTGGAAAATTCTGAAGGAGATGGGAATACCAGACCACCTGACCTGCCTCTTGAAAAACCTGTATGCAGGTCAGGAAGCAACAGTTAGAACTAGACATGGAACAACAGACTGGTTCCAAATAGGAAAAGGAGTACGTCAAGGCTGTATATTGTCCCCCTGCTTATTTAACTTATATGCAGAGTACATCATGAGAAACTTTGGGCTGGAAGAAGCACATGCTGGAATCAAGATTGCCGGGAGAAATATCAATACCCTCAGATATGCAGATGACACCACCCTTATGGCAGAAAGTGAAGAAGAACTAAGGAGACTCTTGATGAATGTGAAAGAGGAGAGTGAAAAATTTGGCTTAAAGCTCAACATTCAGAAAACCAAGATCATGGCATCTGGTCCCATCACTTCATGGCAAATAGATGAAGAAACAGTGGAAACAGTGGCTGACTTTATTTTTCTGGGCTCCAAAATCACTGCAGATGGTGATTGCAGCCATGAAATTAAAAGACACTTACTCCTTGAAGGAAAGTTATGACCAACCTAGACAGCATATTAAAAAGCAGAGACATTACTTTGCCAACAAAGGTCCATCTAGTCAAGGCTATGGTTTTTCCAGTGGTCATGTATGGATGTGAGAGATGGACTATAAAGAAAGCTGAGCACCGAAGAATTGATGCTTTTGAACTGTGGTGTTGGAGAAGATTCTTGAGAGTCCCTTGGACTGCAAGGAGATCCAACCAGTCCATGCTAAGGGAGATCCGTCCTGGGTGTTCATTGGAAGGGCAGATGTGGAAGCCAAAACGCCAGTACTTTGGCCACCTGATGCGAAGAGTTGACTCATTTGAAAAGACCTTGATGCTGGGAAAGATTGAGGGCAGGAGGAGAAGGGACAACAGAGGATACAATGGTTCGATGGCATCACCGACTCAGTGGACATGGTTTTGGGTAGACTCCGGCAGTTGGTGATGGACACGGAGGCCTGGCGTGCTGCGGTTTATGGGATCGCAAAGAGTCGGACACGACTGAGAGACTGAACTTAACTGAACAGAGCCACAGACCCAGCCTGAAGGTGAAACAAAGAGCTAGGTTTATTCAACCCAGACAGTATAACTGGGATAAGTTTTAGCAGTATTGGATGCAGGAAAATCTAACATTTACTTCATGATTAAAGGTTAGGATATTCACAGATTAAGAATAAAAGAGCCCAGGTATCACATCAGCTTTCATACCCACACGTCAAATCTCATATTCTTATGTATGTTAATATATTATTTTCTTTATGTTTCTATTGATTTATTTTGGACTCTTGGCCGTTACCCAGTGTGGCACTTTAGCAGCCTCTGTCCCAGAAAGTTTTAATCTCAAACGTGTTCTCTATCATCAGCGGGTAGCTAGGAGGCAAAAGTTAGTACACTGTTTCATGGATAGTATCAATGGGACACTAAACTCAGAGGGATTTAATTGACTCATCTAGTATTACTAAACAAGTCAGCAGAAGATAAACTAAAAATAAATTTTCTATTTTGAGAGATGACAATGATTTAATTCAATTTGGTTTACTGAATACTTACCCTGTTTCAGGCATTATACCATGCTAGAGCTACAGAGGTGAATAAAACAGTCCTGTATACTATAAAGAGTTCAGATCATCTTGGATAACATTGATAAATATCTTTATAATTATGATTCACTATGATAAATGATACAATAGCAAAATAAAATGCTACAGGATCCTAGAGGAGATAAGAGAATAATGTTACCTATAAAGGAGGAGGAATTATGAAATAAGTCACAGAGAATGTAAGACTTGAGAGAGAGCATTTAAAAAGTGTCAAATGTCTGTAACAGGAAGAGGGAATGGAACAGATATTCCTGGAGAAGATGTAACCTGTACAAAGAAAAGAGTAATGCAAATCCACGCATGGAAATTTACTCAGTCATGTCAGACTCTTTGTAACCCCATGGACTGTAGCCTGCCAGGCTCCTCTATTCATGAAATTCTCCAGGCCAGAATACTGGAGTGGTTAGCCTTTCTCTTCTCCAGGGGGTCTTCCCAATCCAGGTCTCCCGCACTGCAGGCAAATTCTTTACTGCCTGAGCTACCGGGAAAGCCCAAGAATACTGGAGTGGGTAGCCTATCCCTTCTCCAGTGGAGCTTCCCGACCCAGGAATCAAACCGGCATCACCTGCATCGCAGGCAGATTCTTTACCAGCTGAGCTACCAGGGAAGCCCAAAGAATGACAAAGTATCCAGTGCAGCTGCGATGAAGGGGGTTGCAAAGATGGTGAGGGGGTAAGGAATGATGATTCTTACATTTGGGAATGTAAGTGAAGGCAGGTGGTAGAGCATCTTATATGCTGAAGAAGTTTAGCTTTGCTGGGGAGCCTCTGCAGGGCTCAGAGCAGGACAGATGCTGTGATTGTTTTTTGCCTTAGTTTGTTTTTCTTCTATTAATGTGTCTTTTTTCGTTCCTTAGTATATGAGAATTATACAGTATTCACCTTAAAGTATTATTGTGTGAATCAAGTCATTGTTTTGAAGTTGTGAATTTTAAAATGGTATTATCTGTAAGATATTTTAAGCTATTTTCATTTTTTCTTTCTTCCTCGCTCCTTTCCTTCCTTCATATCAATGATTTAGCAAGTACGATTTGGTAGGGGGGGGAAGGAAACACCTCACTTACATTTCCAATGTAATGTAGTTTGAAATGTAATTCGAATTCCAATGTAATTCAAAATGCCCTCACTTACATTTCCAAACGTGTAAGAATCATCATTCCTGACCCCCTCACCATCTTTGCAACCCCCTTCATCCCAGCTGCACTGGATACTTTGTCATTCTTTGGGCTTCCCTGGTAGCTCAGCTGGTAAAGAATCCACCTGTGATGCAGGTGATCCCAAATTAGTAAATACTGACTACACAACCATTAGTTGATTCAGGGGAAACTCTAAATTGTGAAGGACTATGGAATAAAGGAGCATTTTTGTTTTGTTATTATTTTACCTAGAGAGACAAGTCTGATCTAGATTCTTGGATCTGGATTCAGGGTAGGAAATGGATGGCAAAGAAACTATCATGGTGGCACAGTAGCCTGAGGTTTTGGACTCTGTGTGCTCACTGAATTGTAAGAAGGTGATATAGGCATTTCTTATGGCAGGAATCACCATCTCCAGAAATAGGTTTTCCTGATAAGTAGTCTCCTCACAGCTGCCTTCATGTCCTTGTTCCTTAGACTATAGATGAAGGGGTTCATCATGGGAGTCACCACTGAATACATGATGGCAGCCACCTTATCCCTTTCTGCTGAGTAGGCAGAAGAGGGAAGAAAGTAGACCCCACTGATAGATCCGTAGAAGAGGGACACAGCTAAGAAATGGGAGCCACAAGTGGAGAATGTTTTCCACTTCCCCTTGGCTGAAGGAATCCTAAGTACAGTGCAAGCAATAAGGCAATAGGAGACACAGATGAATGTGAATGGAATGAAGATAACTGATCCCCCAATCACTAGGACTATCAAGTCATTGATCTGAGTGTCTGAACAAGCCAGCCTTAAAATGGGTTCCAGGTCACAGAAGAAGTGTGGAATTTCTCTCTGATCACAGAAATTCAAGAGGCCCAGCAGACCGAGATGAAGTACTGAAACAAGATTACAGACAACGCATGGAGTCAACACCAACAGGGCACAACGCTTCAGACTCAGTAACGCAGCATAGTGTAATGGGTGACAGATGGCAACGTACCGGTCATACGCCATGGCTGCCAAGAGGAAATTGTCCAGGTCCACCAGCAACATAAAAAAGTACATTTGTGTAAGGCATCCTGCAAAGGAGATGACTGGGCTCTGGCTTTGGATGTCTGCCAACATTTTGGGGACTGTAGTAGATATGAAGCAGATGTCGGTGAAGGATAGATTGGCAAGGAAGAAGTACATGGGGCTGTGGAGGTGAGCATCATTCACAATAGCCAGGATGATAAGTGAATTTCCCACCATGGCAACCAGATACATGCACAAAAACAGCTCAAAGATGTGCTGCTGCTGTTCAGACACCGCTGTGAGTCCCAGGAGGAAAAATTCAGAGATAGTTTGGTTTCCTTGGAGCATGATTCTTCTGTGTCTAAAAAGGGAAAAAATGTGACTTTACTGTAAAATGGTAACATGACACAAAAGCCTGTCAGAGGACACTGTACCATATTATAAAAGTGAATCAAGCCTTGGGACTTCTTTTCTGAATCTTACTTTCTGCTTACTAAAACACAAGCTCCACAAGGGTATGGATTTTATCTACTATGTTCAGTGCTGTACACCCGTGCTAAAGATAGTGCCCAGAACATAGTAGGTGTTCATTAAATATTGGTTGCGTTTACACACGAATGAGTGAATAAATTAAAAAATAAATATTCTGAACATATGATTCACTATCTTCATGACTGTTTTCTGTGCTTTTCTAAGCCTATTCCATCCATTTTAAAATGTGGAGAATATCCACTTTATAGGATTTTTGTGAGGATGGCAAGGACACATGTAAAATGCCTATATCTGTATTTTAGCTGTTGCCTCAGGAATAGTAGCTGCTATCATTCACTAATTTGGAAAAATCACAGACTTTAAAGGCAAAAAGAAACCTTTAGAGAACATATAGCTGAACCTCTGTCTTCTGGCAGTTAAGTATTAACACATATGATGATTTAGCTGATCATGTTTCACTGTTCCAGAGACAAAGATGCTACACTCGACTTAAAACACCTGATCCAAAATTTTATCCTTTTACTAATTAGCTCTTCCTCAAATCTTTCTGAAAACTTCCCAGTTTTTACATCTCAACAAGGAGAAATTAGTCATTATCATAAATGCTGCTGAAGTCCTGTAGGGATATCCACGGAATTAAGCAATGCAATGGTAAATGTTCTTAACATGACCATTTATGGTGGAGCTACTTGGGAAAAACCCACAATGAAGAAAATTTAGGGGTAACACTTTAGCAACAAGTGTTTATTGAGGGCTTACTATGTTGCAGTTGCATTCAAGTGCTAAGTGCTTTACATCAATTATTTCATTAAATACTCACCACAACTTGGTGAGCTAAGTAGGTCTATTAAGAATATGTTCCATTTGCAGATGAAGAAATCAAGAATTAAATAATTTGATAAGAGTGAGGCATAGCTAGTGTATATTCTGAGCCCAGTCTGACTTCAGAGCCTTTCTTGCTGAACTATTAATACCATGCTATATTACTACTATACTGCTTATGGCTTCGTGTTTGTGAAGAGCCTCACCTATGTTTTAGGCACAGAAGAGCTTGTTCAGGCAAAGTAAAAAAGCTAGTAGATGGTGGAGCTTGACTTTGAATCTTGATGCCAAAATGTTTTTGCCATCTCTGTGTAAGTCCAAATGAGAGCAGATGGGCTTACAAATGGGAAGCTTTGTCTTTGCTTATTCCAATTTGCACCTTATCTATGCTGATGTGAGATCCATTTTATTAATACACACTTGTTACTTACTCAAAAATCTGTATGTCTTCATACCATCTTTCCAGTCTAACACGACTGGATTGCCATTGTATTAATTCACTTATTTCTGTTGGTTTGCTGTTTAGCTTTGTACACTCTGAAAAAAAGAGGTTAGCAGAACTAATGAATAGTTGAAGCACAATTGCAGGAGAAATGTTGCACTTACCTAACAACACAATTTTCCCCAAGTACTGTAGCAGTTCTCATTTGCATACTAACAAATAAATGTGCTAATTATAAATCCCAGGCAGGATCAGTTCTTGTGGGACCTCTGCTAGGCAACATTTAGCCATTTCATACGTACAGAATGTACTGAAAATAATAAACTGACATATTATTATAGATTCTTCACTGATGCAGACTATATTAGCAAAATTTGACAGTCCATGTTTCTGATTTGATCTTCAAACACCATACCAGTTAGTTCAATTTAACCACTTGTTCTCATCTACTCTCCCCAAGCTGGCACCATCTTTTACAACCAAACACATGAGTATATTCAGCTTTTCAACCCTTGTGTATTCAAGTCACTGATTTGGCACAATACTTTTGTAGTGAACTTGAGGAACAAATGTTTGCATATTTGAGTTGAGAGTCCCTCTCCTATGGAACTTACCTGCATGTTTTGTGGCTATTTCCAAAGCTTTTCAGAAGGAAATAATTCCACTTCCTCAACTTAAGAAAAAATGGGGATTTTCCCAGCCATAGATGTGAACATTTACCCTTCCTAAAAACAGAAAAAGGCAGAGGAGAGGGCTGAAATAGAACTGAAAACCTCAACTGGTGGTGTTGTTCCTGCTCTTGGATTTAGAAAAAGATCACCCTAGGGCTCAGGATACAATCCTCTAGGCTACTCATTAGAAGCTACTCTCAATTCCATCCTCTATGGACCAAGACCTCCCTACTGGGATGTACTGGTATTCACTGATTTCTCATATATTTTATTATAAATAGAAATAAATATTATATATGAATAATTTGTATTAATTATATGCATAGTATAATGTATACATATAAATTATATATAAGTCATATATATATATGTATATACATATGAATAGAAAGCAAGCTTATGTCCCTGTTGTATTTTCACTCTAGTTAGAAAACTGAAATACCAACTTTTGAAGGAAAACTTCACCTTCATTTCTACCTAATAGTTATCTTTTGTATCTCCATATAATCCAATAATAAGCTGACCCTGGTAATATTTGGAGAGCTTTAGTAATGAAAGCAACACTGCAGAGTACTTATTATTTGTCAGGCATTATTCTAAGCCCTTCATGTATATTACCTCAGTTTATTTATTTTCACAATAAAATTTGAGGTAGATAAAAATATCATCCCCTTTTCACAGAGGAGGAAACTGAAAACCAAAAGGTTAAATGATTTGCCCAAGGTCATACAACTATTTGATGGCAGAGCCAAGGTTCTTACCATAAACTCTTGCTCTTGATACCATTTTCTTAATTGCTGCATTAAATTATCACTTATTAATCATGGGGGATATTTGGAAGGGGGGAGGGAATTCTGAGACTTTGACTAAAAATATCTTTGGAAATATCACTCATATCTTTCTCCCTACCCTGAATCCCAGCAAATGTCCTCACTTCCTATTTAACTCTACATCCAAACCAAGAGTTCGTGAACGTTTCACTACCCTCTTCTTTCTTAATGTTATTATGGAAGGACATCCTTCCTCTTATTAAAGGCCAATTCCTTCACCTATATTCTGGATTCCTTCCCCTATTGCCTTCCCAAGGGACTTATGTTACCAGTTAATTTCTTTCTTCTATCTTCTATCTTATATGTGGATTTTTCTTTTGGCTTTAAAACATGTTATAATTTTTCCTACATTCAAAAAAAAAAAAAAAAACCAGACAAGCAAATCCTCCAGGATTCCTTAGCCTCCTCAGTTACTAAACAATCTCACACCTACCATTGAACACAAATTTCTTGAATTTTCTACCTTTCTGTCTCCATTTCTTCACCTCAACCCACTCCAATCTGTCTTCTGCCCCACACAACTCCACTGAAATAGCTCTTGATAAGGTCACAGTGACATCCGTGTTGCTAAATCCACCTTTCTTTGCAACTCAACAGCACTCACCTCAGATGATAGTCCTCTTTATATTGCTGTTCTGTTGTTTTCAGTTGCTAAGTTGTGTCCGACTCTTTTGTGACCCCATGGACTATAGCCTGCGAAGCTCCTCTGTCCATGGGATTTCCCAGGCAAGAATACTGGAGTGGGTTGCCATTTCCTTCTCCAGGGGATCTTCCCAACCCAGGGATCAAACCCTGGTCTCCTGCATTGGCAGGCAGATTCTTTACTGCTGTGTGTGTATATATACATATATGTAAGTTACACATATATATAGGTATATGCATATATATGTATATGTATATATATTCCAGTAGTCATGCATGGATGTGAGAGTTGGCCTAAAGAAAGCTGAGTGCCAAAGAATTGATGCTTTTGAACTGTGGTGTTGGAGAAGACTCTTGAGAGTCTCTTGGACTGCAAGGAGATCCTAAAGGAAATCAGTCCTGAATATTCATTGGAAGGACTGATGCTGAAGCTGAAACTCCAATACTTTGGCCACCCAATGCAAAGAACTGACTCCTTGGAAAAGACCCTATTGCTGGGAAAGATTGAAGGTGGGAGGAGAAGGAGATGACAGAGGATGAGATGGTTGGACGGTATCACCAAACTCACTCGATAGACATGAGTTAGAGTAAGCTCTGGGAGTTGGTGATGGACAGGGAAGCCTGGCATGCTGCAGTCCATGGGATCTCAAAGAGACTGAAGGACCGAACTGAACTGATAGCTGACTTACAATGTTGTCTTAGTTTTAGGTGTACAGTGCAGAGATTCAGGCATATATACATGTATGTATCTGTATCTATATATTGCTCTTTAGATTCTTTTCTTTTATATGTTATTGCAAAATATTGAGTATAGTTCCCTGTGCTATACAGTAGGTCCTCTTTCTTGATGTACCCTCTTTTGTTGGATGTTGAGAACTCTGAATCCCCTGGTTTTCCTTCTATCTCTTTAACCACTCTTTCTCCATCTCCTTTCATGGCTCTCCCATATAATCTTTAAATGTTTGTTGTGATGTCACAGAGTTTTTATTTGCTCACTCTATTCTATCCCTAGAATAAAATCATCCACTTTCATTACTTCAGTTAAATCTTTATATTGATGATTCCGTTTCTTTTCTTTAACTAGCTCTCTCTCTCTGAGCCCTGGAATCATAGGCCTAATTGTTTGTTATAAACACTTCTATATCTCATAAGCACCTCAAATTCAGTATTTTCAAATCCATACTCATTGTCTGCCCACACCACTGCTGAAACCAATTTCGGCCCTATTCCATTATGCCTTACCTCAGTAAAATGTAACATCATTGATTTTTGTCATTTTTCATAACTTCCATCTTTATTTCTTAAGATCTCATTATTTAAGTCTTGTAGATTCCCCATCTTAAATATCTCTCAAATGTATTTCTCCATCACCCTTTTTGAAGCCATCACCACATTTCTATCTCTACTTTTATTCCTTCCAAATAGTCTTTAGGCTGACACTCCTCAGTG